AAGAGAGGAATAAGGTTTGATAGCATGGGTGAAGGACACCGTATTTTGTAAATTTGGACGCCGTATTTTAAAAATGATGAATACGGTATTTTGTGAATTATGAACGCAGTACTTTGTATATTCTAAAGGCGTACTTTATCAGTCCTGAATGCATGTTATTAACAACATATTTAAAACAAAATCGGGCATTTTTGGAAAAATATCCACTTTCCTTCGTTTTCACAGCACTTAACACAAAACATTTTCGCTAATATTTATTAACAATAAATTAGAATTTCGCGAACACGTGCTACTTTTAACCCAAAACGAAGCTCCAATGTTGCTGCTACCAGACCGGAATCAAAACTGAACAGAAAGGATGGAAAATGTGATCTTTTATCTGGTAGCTCACGTGAAAGTGACATCATCGTACGTCACGATGAGATTGCAAAAATTATTTTTCATATTTTAGAACAGAAATTGTACATTTTCGGGGTTAATTTAACAACGTTTAAACAAACTAATTTGTTTTTACTAACCTCGTGTTCTTAGGAAAACGGATTTCGGTTTAATTATCATACATTGATAGTTATCATATTTTATGAATTGTATTAATTATGTTTAAATTTTATTTAATTATATCGCGAAAATGTATAGCTTTGACCCACCAACTTCAATCGTTTCGAAAATTTATCCAAAATGTAAACATTGTCGACCAAACGAATCACGGAATCCGATAAATTAAAACTGAAGTCGTACTTACCCTGTTTTCGGTCCTTTTCGGAAAAATATCCATTTTCGTTCGTGTTCACAGCACTAACACAACATATTTTCCGTAATATGTATCTATTAATAATAAACTAGAAATTCGCTAAAACGCTCCACTTTTACGCCGACATGAAGCGACGATCTTTCCGCCATCAAACAGAAATTAAAACTGAACACAAAGGACCGAAACACGTGACCTTTATACAAGTAGCTCAGGTGACATTGACGTCATCGTACGTCACGATGAGATTGCAAAATTTATTTTTCATATTTTGGCCGGGAAAATGCACATTTTCGGGGATAATTTAACATTGTTTAAACAAATTGATTTGTTTTTAATAATGTCGGGCTTGTAGGACAACCGGTTTCGGTTTAATTATCATACATTGATGCTTATCATATTTAAACATTATAAATGATATTAATTATGTTTAAAATTTATTTATTTATGTCGTGAAAATGTATAGCTTTGATCAACCGATTTCAATCGTTTCGAAAATTTTCCCAAAATTTAAATATTGTCGAGTGAACGAATCACGGAATCCGATAAATTAAAACTGAACTCGAACTTACCCTGTTTTCGGTCCTTTTCGAAAAAATATCCATTTTCGTTCGTGTTCACAGTACTAATACAACACATTTTCACTAATATTTAAATATATAAATTAGAAATTCGTGAAAAGAGCCCTACTTTTAAGCCAAAACGGACTCTGATGTTGCTGCCACCAAACCGAAATCAAAACTAAACGCAGAGGACCGAAAATGTGACCTTTTATCAGGTGGTTCATGTGACAGTGGCGTCATCGTACGTCACGATGAGATTGCAAAAATTATTTTTCATATTTTCGCTCAGAAATTGTACATGTTCGGGGTTAATGTAACAGTGTTTAAACAAACTAATTTGTTTTTGCTAACCTCGTGTTCTTAGGAAAATGGTTTTCGGTTTAATTATCACATATTAATAGTTATCATATTTAAACATTATGAATTATATTAATTATGTCATTTCTGCAACTCTTGAGTTATTTTCTAAAATAAATTGACTGATCCATACATTTTTTTGTCACTGTAAAAGCAAATCTAAAAAATATGAATGCAATGATAAATTTACGAAAATATACTGATGGTATTTTGCACATTTTAGATAAGATTTATTCGGCAAAATCTTGAGATGACGTCATCAAGTTTTTGGGCTTGATAAACAGATAAATTTTGATTAAAAACGTACCATGTCAAACAGTAACTTCAAAACGTCTGCAATAAATCTAAAAATTTAGTTTTGCAATTCTTGATTCAATCAATAAAATAAACTGACTCAGTGATTATTTTTTTTTGAGACACCCCCTATAAGCAAAACTAAAAAATATGGATTAAATGATAAATCACAAGTATAGTCTCATCCTATTTTGGATATTTTAAAAAGGATTCATTTGGCAAAATTTTGGACTGACGTCATCAATTTTTTGGAGGAAGTAAGTGTATTATTTTGATTACAAATTTATTATGCTTATCAGATGTTTAAAACATCTGCAAGATTTCAAAGTATTGGGTTTGCAGATCCAAAATTAAGTTGTAGGTGAAACGAAGTTCACGGGGTCAGCTAGTTCTGCTATAAATACAGAAAACGACACAAGACATCCTACTCCTAAAAGTACAAAAGCACCAAAAATACGATCTAAATCTAAATGTTCTTCGATACATTGATAATCGGGAACTATCGTTTTGTTAATATTAACCTTACTGTCACTCAACCATTTAGCTATAAAACCACTTTCAACAATACGTAACAAAACATCATTTATTTTATCCAACAAAGGAAATCCTTTCTTGACTGTCAAGTAAGATCGTAGTGTTGAGACCTAAAAACTAAAATCAATACAACAGAAGATTAATTACATCATACTTCACCTTGTCTTTCGATACCACATTTAAGTGTTCGTAGTTTTTAATAAAAAGCAGCCTAAGACTTGATTCTATAATCCCATGGTCGAGGCGTCGAGCGAAATAACTTGTTTTCTACTGGAAGAGAACAGGCGCGTCAGTATTTAACCTATTTTTGACTGTTAGTTTATAAAATCAGTAATCACTTCTATTAGCAAAAAATGGTAGATACAGATCGAAAAACAGCAATTTTTTGCCTCTTAGAGCCAGCTCTTCAATAGTTGATATTTTAGGTTCATATCGCGGTTTATTCAAAATTCCTTTCAACTGGCTAAAGTAGATCCAGCTCAAGTTAAGAATGTAAAAATAGAAAATAGTAAGAACGAGTCGCGCAAAAGTCGTATGTGGAGCCCTTTGTGTGATACCTTGTAGCAGAAGACGGATCACTTGAAACACGCAAGTGTGTAGAGAACATTCAGACAACCTTTGCCACAGTACCGTCATTGCTAGTACGGAAACCAGAATTAATGACCAAGTATGAACTGAAAATACCATCAAAGTGTCGGTACTACTAAGTATCTTGCGTCTTGGTGGTAGGACGAAGAAAAGGTAAATTTCGTAGTAATGCACACTTAGCTCAAATTCGGGCCCTATGGGTTTGGGTAAATATCTGACATAAAAAGCCATCTGGATGTTTTTTTCTATCATATGTTTTCTCAGCAGTCCGGTGGCGTTTTTGTCTGACATGTAGGTATTTAATATTTTTGGTTAAATAAATTACTGTAATATTTAGCACTTCTGTAATGGTATCTAAAAGCCGAATGCTATAGCCTGGATTTTTTTTGTCAAATGGTATTTTAATAGCGAATGGAAGTTCGTCCCATGTTACATTTATGTAACAATCTTGTAATCGTTTGTGAATTTTATTTTGGAACAAATTTTCTGTTTTTTCTTTCGTCACCAGTTTAACCACCGTTCAACACTGACTTTCGCGATTGTAAGGGTACCACGTGACAAAAATTGACCAATTAGCGTAGATGACAACATTGTAGATGTACAAATGAAACAACGTTTTAAATATAGATTTTGTTTCTTGACCAGTAGTGTTGTTTTCGAAAATGATGAGATAATGTCCTTTTATGTTAATTCTGTGTTTTATTAAGTTTATAGATGACGATAAATTGGTTGCATTGGATCCGATAATTATAAAATTGTTGAATGCTTCTAAATTGGCAACATTTTGAGTGTTTATCAATATTTTTGGTTGTTGGAAGTACAAAATAAAGGTAAGTTTGTCGTCTATAGTGTTGAAACTGGAACTGATAACAACTATTGTTTCTCTGTAGAAGTGCTTCTGGATGAATTCTTTCAGTGATGATGCTGTTTGCAGTAATAAAAATTTAAACAAGATGATATTATGATGACCATTTCATTAGCTGCTGATCTGTTGTTCTGATGTATTTGTCTATGGAATAAGGATTTTTATATTTTTACAGTTGATAATGATGAGACATTTTGTTTGAGAATGTAGTAATTCTTTCTTGTGTTATCAATATCATTATCAATCATATTATGAAATTTTCTGCTTTGTGTTAATGGATTTCCTATACTTTCTCAGCCCAGAGTAGCTTCAAGTATATAAAAATGATTTAGGTGACAGTTATTATCATAAATAAGACAAATATTTTTCGCTTTTGGTTTGTAGGTACAAGGATATTTAGATGGTATTATCCAACTGTTAATTAATTGATCCTAACGACACAGTTCCACTTTTTTAATGAAATAAATTAGAATCTTGGTAGGTATTATTCATGAAAAAGTAATGAACGCAAACATTTGTGTTAACTACTACCTACAATAAAACATATGCACTTATTGTAATTGAGTAATACATTTCTTTTCATTATATTTTATGTATCACAATCGATTGGCAGAGATATTTATGTTTCTCTGTTTAATTTTATTTTTAGTGTCGTACCAACACAATAATTTTTATTTCATTATGTTTAATATATATGTCAAGGTGAAAACTGAGTTATTTTTCAGTGGATGTTTTACGTGAAATACTGGAAAAAGAGTAAAAAAGAATAAAGGATTACTTAAAACTGTTTAAAATATAAGTAATACGTAATAAGCATCAATTAATAAAAGAAGAATAATTTAGGTCTCTAAAGCTAAAATGTCGTAAATTTTAGTAAATAACCCAATGACAATAACTCCTTGAACAAAGTGTCTTAGTAGAAGTTTATACACTAATCATGGACTGTTGAAAAATTCTTTGATACTGTTTAATAGAAATAATTTAGCTATAAACTTTCTAACTATTTTCAAATATACCTACATGAAGTTTATAAGAGACAAACAACGCACACATGGAAACGGGTGACCTACTTTTCGAATCTTTAAAAGACATGAAACGTCGAGAAAAATCAAATGATTCCTCAAGAATACTTCCCATGCTAGTAAGTGAAGATTAAAAGACTTCAAAGTCAAAAACTAAATTATTTTTATTTAGAATTAGTAAGTGAAGAATGAGAACAATGGAAAAATTAAAAAAGTAAATAAATACTTAACGATAATAAAATTGTTGAATTTTTAAACGTAAAAGCCCAAAGCCGAGCACAAGGTAATTCAAATGTACTTAAATGGATTTATACTGTCTACAATCGTAAAATGTTATGATAAGAAATATATAGCTGCAGACAAAATGTGTTAAAATAGATTATCACTTTTTGTGTTACAGTTGTGCTTTCCTGTCCAAATTGTTCCAGGTAGTGCATCTGAGAACAGATCCTCTCCTTCTGCGTAATCTAAATTAAGTATGTGATTAATTTGAATTAAATAATAATTCTTAAACTGTGTACCTAGACCTACAATACTATATGTTTAATTTTAATTGAATTTTACTTTACCCCACATAAGCATCTTTAATTGACAGAAGTATTTTTTCATCGTTTTTATTACTTTTATATAAATGTTAACACCAGTGCACAGGATATGGAACATTTCATTAATTAAAAAAAATGAACATTTGCAAAAATTTCCATATTTTACATTTAAATGTAAACGTTACTTTTATAGTTTGCAATATTTTAACCTGAAAAGAGTGCGACGAAACAATTTAGCAGCAGAAATCAAGGAGAAACCTAGAAACTCATTTAAACATAAACATGAAAGTGACGATTGTGTTTGTTCTAATTGCTTTTATTTCAAGAATCTCATCTTTATCACTACAGTAAACTATATTTTTGCAGCTACTCAAAAACAACTTGCTTGGAATTCTCTATAACGATAACCTGGATAAAACCTGTGTTTCGGACTTAAATGCTCTGTTTTCTGATGCTTCTAGTTTCAAACACTGGGCATTACAAAGTAAGAAGCAACTACAATTAAGTACTTTACATAATAAACTAGTAAACGAAACCAATTTGTAGTGTTGGATGCTACTGGGAAAATCTATCCAGGGCTTCTAAATGGCAACATAAATCTAATTGGTGATTACGAAGAATGTTTAGCTATAAATGAATCTAAAAATGGTAGAAGAATCAGTGGAAAATACTGTACTCTAGCTCTTACAATGGGGAATTCAGGTATTAGTCCTCTAGCAACATCTTTGAAACAAGGACCTGTAAGCATAGTTCAAAAATTTGTTATAAATTTTAATATGTTGTGATATATAATTTTAGTCATCTAAACAATCACACTTACAACCATGACGTGGGGAATTTGTGTGCCAAAATCTTGTTCAGTCAGGAACTTAAAAATCCTTGCCCACGATGTACAAGCAAAATTTAAGCTCCCTGTGGAAATAGGACTAAAAGAAAATTCTTGTTCCTACAAAAATAAAACCTCAACAATAAATAACTTCGATATTTTAGTTTAGTAAGTTGTTGGTGTTGTTTGTTTTAACAAAGATAATGATTGTAGTTATTTCTTCGCGATGTTAGGGCTCATACTTGTGGCAAGTACCATTTACGATCTTCACTTCAAATGTTTCAGTAGGAATACTCGTGGTGGTAACACTGTCCTTAAAATTAAAATTGTAGGTAAAAAATCAAACATTTTCGTTGCATTCTCACTGTATAGCAATGCAAAAAGACTCGTATCAGCAACTTCTAACAAAAAAGAGGATAATTTAAGTTGTCTTAATGGAATCAAGGTGTTAAGTTGTTTATGGATCGTGTATGGTCATGTAGTTCTTGCGTGTTTCTTTTATTCAAAAAATCCTGCTTATGTTGTCAATGAGGTAGAGCTCATTTTCATTTTGATATTCTCCTTTAATCTTATTTTTTTAGTGGAAATATTCCACAAAGAGCACTTTTACATGGAGTGCTTTTTACGCGGTAGATATTTTTCTCACCATCAATGGTTTTCTTGTCACTTATATTTACCTCAAAACTACGGATCGGTTAAAAATTACTGTGATTTGGTTCTATTTGAATAGATATTTGAGGTACTATGTCAAAAATAAATAGTACCCAGCAAAGTAACTTTTATTTTGTTTTTTAGGGTAACACCTGCCCTCGTAGCTGCCGTCTTGATACACATCAGTGTGGTGAAACTTCTAACAGATGGATCCTTTATATCGTACAACGATGGAAAGTTTTCACAAGATTGTTACAATAACTGGTGGACTTTTTTCATTCACCCTATGGTTTTTACAAACTATGATCAAATAATGATTTTCGTTTCCAAATTTTGAAAACTGTATATATTTTACAGTGTGGTCCACATTTGTGGTATATGTTTATCGAGGGCCATCTATATATATGTACTCCCGTATTCTTAATCTTCATGAAGCAATACCTCAAAAACGTATTAAGAGGTCTAAGTGTCACCTTACTGCTTGCTGTCATCTATAACATTTCAGTAACAATAACCAAAAATATTGGATTTACAGCTTTCAAGTAATTATTTACATTTTTCTCTTCAGTTTTGAACAAAGAATTTTCAGATGGAGTGACGATTTTGAAAATTATTTATATTTTTCTACAACATATCGCTTACCGTGTTGGTTGATTGGAGTGCTCTCTGTATACTTTTTGTATGAATACAAATTTAAGATTCCCAGAATTGTAAATCTTGTTATTTGGGTAATCGCACTGTACACAATGATAGAACTCACTGTAGAACAGAACATTTTCATTACCAGTGTATATAACGTTTACCGTTCTGCTTTATGGAATGGTTTGGCAAGACCCACGTGGTCTTTAGCTGTTAGTTTCATTGTTTTTAGTTGTGCTACTGGAAATGGAGGTAATTTTTTTCAATATAGTTAGAAGCGTATGAGTGATTCTGTTTTCTAGGGATTATAAATGATTTTCTATCTCATCCTGTGTTCAGATTTCTATGCGAGCTTATCTACTTGTTGCATTATGATGTTATTCTGAATGTGTTTGGTAGTAGTAAAGAAATGTCCTATTTTAATACCGACAATATTGTAAGTACAAAATTAAAACTTACTAAGATTATGAGATTCACATTACTGTTATTGCAGGTCTCCAAGTTTCTGTGGGTTTTTGTCGAAATTTTAATGGTTTCGGTATTTCTCTATCTTGCTTTTGAAGCACCAGTGTTATCACTCAAACACCACCTGACTAAGAATAAAACCAGCGAAAAACAAGATTGTGAGAAAAATTTGGAAACAGCTGGTTAAACACATACGATTTGGGTTTCTATTTATATTTGATTTGATACTTAAGGATGAAACATGTTTTTTGTATTTATTAATCAAATCATTTTTAGAAATGATTATACATTGCTTAAATTAAATGTTCAGGGGTCATTTAAACAACGAAATGAATTTGGCTTTTGGCTTTATAGGAACAAATAAACATCCGAAAACAGATTATTCGTATCATTAAGGCATTTGTCAACATAATGAACGGGTTGACAAAAACTGATGCATATTATTGCTTGTTATAAGGGGCAATTCTGAATCAAACCTGTTGAATTTAAAGGGTGTTAAATTTCAAATTTCCATAGTAACGAGTTAAATTCGTAAATCTGATTGGCTGTTTATTTTTTAACAACCTTTAAATTTTCCAAGTTTGATTCAGAATTGGCCTTATAGACTATAAAATCTCTTTTCCCAATTGAGATAGGGTGCGTGGGCGAGGCTTATAATGAGCGTTATATATATATTTCCTTTAACAATTTTTTCATTTTAAACATGTTTTAAGTTTCATATTGTGCAAAGAAGTTTACACATATTAAAACAAAAAGGCAAAATGTAAGCCGGCCCAGCCGCCCTATCTCAATTGTGATTTTTTTAATTCGCCGTGAACCAAAGGGACGGAGCTTAATTGCAAAGTACTTATTTCTTTACAAGAAATTAAAAATGAGTATCGCGTTGTTCAAAGAATACTATGTCTATTAAGAGAAGAAGGCAAAATATAACCCCCCCCCCCATCTCAATTGTGATATTTTTTTTAATTCTTAGAAACTTAAAATACGTTCAAAATGGTAAATATTTAATAAGGAAATATGGATTTTGCAATTAGGCCCCCCCCCCTAGATCTGCCAACGAATGAAAATACGATACTCAAAATAATGTCTTGCTTCTTGTAGAGAAATAATAAGAATTTTGCATTTAAATTCCGCTCCTTTGGCTCTCGACGATTAAAAAAATCATCACAATTGAGATAAGGCGGGTGGGTGGCGCTTATATTTTGACTTCTTCTTAATTACGTAGTTGTCTTTTCAGAACAAGACACTTAAAACATGTTTAAAATGGTAAATTCTTGTAGACAAATATCGATCTTGCACTTAAGCCCCGCCCTTCGATCTGACAATGCATGAAAAATTCATCACAATTGAGAATTGAGATCGGAGTGGGTATGGGTGGGGCCTAATCTTCGGTTTTATTTTTTTCTTAATATAAGTACATAGTATTCTTTGAACAACACGATACTCAGAAACATGTTTTTAATTTCTCGTAGACGAATAAGGATTTTGCAATTAAGCTTCGTCCCCTTGGCTCAGGACGATTAAAAAAAAATCATCACAATTGAGATAGAGCGGGTGGGTGGGGCTACATTTTGCTTTTTTTCCTTAGTATGTGTAGACTTATTTCGACAACAAGAAACTTAAAACATGTCTAAAATGGTAAATTTTTGTAGTAATCAACTTAAATCCTACATTTTTCTTCTACAACCCCTTTTAATACGGCAAAAGTTGAACATCAAAGTCACTATCAACGGCAACTTGGCAACAAAATGACAATTTTCAGCTCTAAAAGGAACGTCAGCGGGAACAGCAACTGCAACGGGAACTTTAACGTCAACAGTAATAAGTTATATATAAATCCAATTGCTAACGTCATCAAAAAAAGATGTTCATGGAATAGTTCCAAATCTGACAAAAATCTCCGATGAATTTTCTACAGAGGATATAATTTTGTAAATTTTACGACTGAGGCGCCATTTGGAAGCCGCCAACATTTCTTCCCAAGAAGCGGTTCAGCGGATTACATAGCAACTTTTCAGATTCATCGTAAAATGGGGTTGTTCTGAATCTGTTCCGAGTCTAGCGCTGTGTCAAAGATTTTTTTAACCATTTGTTTCGGTGGCTCCATGTGAAAGAAGCTTTTCAAAATTAAAATTGAGAAAATCGTGCTTAAGGTCCACAATGAGCTAGCGCGACTAAACAATCTTTCCATTTTATCAATTGAAAAAGAGAGGAAAGTAAATTTTGATAACCTCATAGAAAACTTTGCCAAAGTAAATACCCGTAAGCACATTTAGTATTTGTTGTTTTATTATGGTGGGGGGAGAGGGTGCTCAATAGAAAACCACCCTATGCAGCCACTATTTATTTATTATGACTTTCGGTGCTTGTCTCCTCGAGGAGCTTGTTAAACTAGTTCTGGAGATAACGCTCTCTTCAAGGGCTGTGATTTGTCCAGAAAACATGCTTCCTTCCGACCCTCCGGAGTAGAAGTCAACGATATTTCTCGACAAACAAATATGGTATTTTGTAAGCATTCATTAAATTAGAGACGTTTCAAGAACAATATCAAAATTTTTGAAATTGAAACACGCTGAAAGTTACACGGGTCATTGTTTTAGAAAGTCTTCTAGCAATATGTTGTACAAAAATTGCGCCAACTTTCTCACGTTAAGGCCAGTCGCTACATTTTCAAAATGTGATATCTTCTTTATTACGAGACTTTTTGTTATGAAATTTTAAATATCACTTGTCCATAAATTTTTCTATAAACACAGGGCAGTTTCACGATTTTATGTTTAAAAATCAATATCTCAGTTATTTAGGGAAATTTCGGTACGCGGTTTTCACCATTGTTTTCTAGCTCCAAAAACTAGAGGAGAAACATTGTCGAATTAAAGATTGTTTCCAGTATTATAGGCATCAGTTCTTTTTTTAGTTGATCGACAAAAAGAACAAATATATTGACAAACAAAGTCTAAATAAAAATATGTGCTTCTGTTTCTGTTCTGTGTCTTTATTTAATTATTCACTCTGGTGCTTTTTTATTTTACGTTTAATGATATTTATTTTATTGCTGTTAAACCAAAATTACCTAAGAAGCAGCTCATATGGCACTTTTTTTTAAACAGTATTCCTATCATTAAATTTTTTGCAAATTAATTCTACAACAAACATAAAAAGCGACAGAAGAAATCCCACTCCTAAAAGTACGAAAGCACCAAAAACACGATATAAATCTAAATGTCCTTCGGTATATTGACAGTCGGGAATTAATGTCTTGCTAACATTAAAATCAACCTTACTATCACACAACCATTTAACCATAAAACCACTTTCTACAACACGTAATAATACATCATTTATCTTATCCAATAAAGGAAATCCTTTCTTAACTATTAAGTGAGATCGTAGAGTTGCGACCTAAAAACCACAATTAATACAATTGAAAACTAATTACATCATCGTACTTTACCTGCTCTTTGGAAACCACATTTAATTGTTTGTAGTTTTTAATAACGAGCATTCTAACATTTGTTTCTATAATTCCATGATCAAGCCGTCGAGCGAAATTGTTTATTTTGTCATGGAAGAGGACAGGCGCCTCAACATTTAACCTATTTTTGACTATTAAATCATAATCACTTCTGTGTGCAAAAGTTAGTAGATGCATGTCTAAAAACAGCAATTTTTTATCGCTTAAAGCCAGTTCATGAATTGTTGAAATTTTTGGTTCATATCTCGGTCTACTCAGAATTCCACTCAACTGACTAAAGTAAATCCAGCTCAGATTAAGAATATAGAAAAAGAAAATAGCAAAAACAAGTCGTGAAAAAGTTGTATCTGGAACCCTTTGTGTAGTACCTTGCAGTAGAAGACGGATTACTTGAAACACGCAAGTGTGTAGAGAACATTCAGACAACCTTTGCCACAATACCGACATTGCTATAAGCGAAACCAGAATTAATGACCAAGTATGAACTGAAAATACCACTAAAGTGTCGGTACTACTAAGGATCTTGCGTCTTGGCGGTAGAACGAAGAAAATGTAAGTTTCGTAGTAATGTACACTCACTTCACATTCTGGCCCTACGAGTGTGGGCATGTTTCGGACAAAAAAGGCCATCTGGATGTTTTTTTCTATCATATATTTTTTCAGCTGTACCGTTCCGTTGGTACCTGTCATGTATTTAACATTTTTGGTTAAATAAACTGGTGTAATGTTCAGCATTTCTGTAACGGTATCTAAAAGCCGAACGCTATAGCCTGGATTTTTTTTATCAAATGGACTGTTAATAGCGACGGGAAGTTCATCCCATGTTACATTTATATAACAATCTTGTAATTGTTTAGGAATTTTGTTTTGGAACAAATTTTCTTTCTTTTCCTTCGTCACCAAGTTGACTACGGTTCCACACCGATTTTCGCGATTGTAAGGGTACCACGTGACCAAAATTGACCGATTAGCATAGATGACAACATTGTAGATGTAGAAATGAAATAACGTTTTTAAGATGGATTTTGTTTCTTCTTCGGTAGTGTTGTCTTTGATGATGATGAGATAACGTCCTTTTGTATTGGTTCTGTTTTTTATCAAGCTTATAGATGGCCATAAATTGGTTACATTTGGTTCAATAATTATAAAATTGTTGATTGCTTCCAAGTTGGCAACATGTTCTGCATTTATTAATATTTTTGGTTGTTTGAGGTTCAAAATAAAGGTGAGGTTGTCATCTATATTGTTGAAACCGGAATTGATAACAACTATAGTTTGTCGGAAGAAGTGCTTGTGGATGAATTCTTTGAGCGATGTTGCTGTTTGCAGTAAAAGAAAATTAAATACAAAAAGTATGAGGAGCATTTTCTTTAGTTTCTGTTGGTTTGATGTGTTTGCCTATTGAGTAATGATTTTTATGGCGTACGTTCATATGATGAGATATTTTATATATTGTTAATAGCGCTTTTATTGTTCATGAATTCTTTCTTTTGTTGTCAATTATATTTTTAAATTTTATTGCGTTGATGGGTTTCTTATACTTGCTTAACCCCGACTAGGTTGTGAGTAAACATGATTGATGAGACAGTTTAAAAGGAGAATACAGTGAAGTCTGGTTTTTAAATAGACATAAATCTTTATTTTAAAAGAATAATTAATTACAAATAACTTTGTAACCGTGTATTTAGACGAATTTTTTCAACTCAAATAGTTTTCACCTTAATGTTTTTAGTAACTATTATAATAATTCTACCGACACAATGGCACTTTCTTTAATTAAATAAGTTAAAATTTGGGTAGATAATAATCACGAGAAGTAATGTGCAATTATTTTTTTAACTACTACAAAATCACAGATA